CAACGTTATAACAAGGGTGGTATGCTTCATCTAGCGTGACGGCGGAAGGCGTCGCGACGCCAAGCGTCGGTTTTCTAGTTTCGTCAGCAGTGATATTTAAATTCATCTGCGATAACTTTGGGGCCATGATAGGGCTTCGCAATGTTCGGCGTCGCGACGCCAGGCGTCGGTTTCCTAAAATTGTAATTAAAGTTATCCAAATCTTTTGAGTCACATTCCTGGGTCTTGTGGTGGTGTCGTGACGGTAGGCGTCTCGACGCCGAGCGTCGCTTTTCTAATTTTGTCTTCAGTGATGTCTAACTACATCTGCGGTATCTTTTGCGTCATTGGTGTCGTGATGCTCGACGTCGCGACGGCTGGAGTCGATTAGGTTAGGTTAGGTTATGTTGGATTAGGTTAGGTTGGGATAGGTTAGGTTGGGTTAGGTTAGGTTATGTTAGATTAGGTTGGGTTAGGTTAGGTTAGGTTGGCATTTTCGGTAAAAATACGTCCTTCAAGAACTTCGTTAAGCACGGCGTCGATTTTCTGTCATCGTGCCCAACGTTATACCAACTGTGGTATGCTTCATCTGGCGTGACGGCGGAAGGCGTCGCGACGCCAGGCGTCGGTTTTCTAGTTTCGTCAGCAGTGATATTTAAATTCATCTGCGGTAACGTCGGCGCCATGATAGGGCTTCGCAATGTTCGGCGTCGCGACGCCATGCGTCGGTCTCTTAAAATTGTAATCAAAGTTATCCAAAGGTTTCGAGTCACATTCCTGGGTCTTGTGGTGGTGTCCTGACGGTAGGCGTCGCGACGCCGGGCGTTGCTTTTCTACTTTTGTCTTTAGTGATGTCTAACTACATCTGCGGTATGTTTTGCGTCATTGGTGTCGTGATGCTCGACGTTCGACGCCTGGAGTCGATTAGGTTAGGTTGGTTTGGGTTGAGATAGGTTAGGTTAGGTAAGGTTGGGTTAGGTTAGGTTAGGTTGGGTAAGGTTAGGTTAGGTTGGCGTCTTCGGTAAAATTACGTCCTTCAAGAACTTCGTTACGCACGGCGTCGATTTTCTATCATCGTGCCCAACGTTATAAAGGGTGGTATGCTTCATCTGGCGTGACGGCGGAAGGCGTCGCGACGCCAGTCGTCGGTTTTCTAGTTTCGTCAGCAGTGATATTTAAATTCATCTGCGGTAACTTTGGCGCCATGATAGGGCTTCGCAATGTTCGGCGTCGCGACGCCATGCGTCGGTCTCTTAAAATTGTAATCAAAGTTATCCAAAGGTTTCGAGTCACATTCCTGGGTCTTGTGGTGGTGTCTTGACGGTAGGCGTCGCGACGCTGGGCGTCGCTTTTCTACTTTTGTCTTCAGTGATGTCTAACTACATCTGCGGTATCTTCTGAGTCATTGGTGTCGTGATGCTCGACGACGCGACGCCTGGAGTCTATTAGGTTAGGTTAGGTTAGGTTGGATTAGGTTAGGTTATGTTAGGTTAGGTTGGGTTGGGTTAGGTTAGGTTAGGTTAGGTTATGTTGGCATTTTCGTTAAAAATACGTCCTTCAAGAACTTCGTTAAGCACGGCGTCGATTTTCTGTCATCGTGCCCAACGTTTTACCAAGGGTGGTATGCTTCATCTGGGGTGACGGCGGAAGGCGTCGGGTTTCTAGTTTCGTCAGCAGTGATATTTAACAGGAAATATTACCAATCGAACAATATTTACTTATTATATGAATAGAATACGATCTTAAACTTTGGCCCCAGACAGTTTTCGATTCTATAAATACTTAACGATATAGCAGCATATATTGTCACTTCTCTACAGCAGTGATATTCAACCTGGGGTACGCGTACCCCCGGGGGTACGTGAAATTTAAAAAAATATATATGATAAACACTGAATAATCAGTAATGTAATTTATTTAATTTATTTTAGATGTAGATTATATATTATGTATAACTTGAATTATACACCAACAACTTTGGGGGTATAAAGTTGAAGAGAAATTATATCTGGGGGTACGCCAACAAAAAAGATTGAATACCACTGCTCTACAGTGTGATACACCTTGTGTGTCCCGGAATCACAGGAAAATAACATTAAGGCGAATGAAGTGTTAGATAATCGCGAAGAACACATTTTAGAAACATTGATATATCAAGCGAGATTTTGGGTTCTCTCGGATGCGAATACGAAGATGGCTGTCGTGTGGGTTGTGGAGGCAGCAAGCACCTACGAAACGTTGATAAACGTCTACCAGACTACACGGCTCTACAACCCAGAAGACAGCCATCTTCTTGGTGATGTTTAAATTTCCGTAAACTTTGACAGTCTTAGGATTTGGTACTTTCGCGGCGAGTACAATCAATAAATCTTCTCGGGCAATCAGCCGCGTTAACTGGTTACCGTAGTAAACCGACGTTTCTGGAAAAAACTCTGTCCCTATCTTTTAAGGGTTCTGATGTGACTGGATCCTGGGAAGTCGCCTGTGTGTTGTTCCCGAAACGTCGGTTTACTACGGTAACCAGTTAACGTGGCTGATTACCTGAGAAGATTTTATTGTTTGACAGTCTTGTTTTGAGGGGCGTTCTGTCGTATGTAGCACATTGTAATTTGGTCTGTAAGTGATAGAGGAAAAATATGCAATTATCACTTACTCAGATCCCATCTTTAACTTTCGTAAAAATGTAACGGTTTTGAAGAAGTGAATATCTGACGGTGGAGTCGAGCCAGACTGATTTCAGCGTCGTAAGATTTATGACGACACAAAACGCTGAATGCACCGAAACAAGGTCGATCTTAATGAACCGACGGTACTAATTTGAACTGAAGTGTATTTTCGGTTCGGTCGCGTGTCTGCGATGAGTAGTCATTATCGTACAAAGTCGTTAAAACAGAGTAGTGTTTAAGCTGACACGCGAAGTGAGAGATAGTGCATAACTAAGTACAATAATGTTAACTGTAATAAATCTGAGTAGATTTAAACGTGCTAGACGGTAATCTTGCGTCATTTAATGCTGAGTAACTTGTTTATGCCCGGTCCGGATGTTTGTAATTTTTGTTTCAACTTTTTTCTCCACCGACATGACAGTTGTAGTTACACCAAGATTTTCTTGGTGTACAGTTGTGTACAATTCAAGGTCTCATAAATACAGAGATGTATATATATTTTTTTTTTGAACCTTAGAGTAGCATCACACATGCGGTGTCTTCGAACATGCTTGTTGGTGATGGTCATAATTCTCACAATTATTTCTGGCAGTGTAATTGGACTGTATGTAATTTTCCGCGTTACAGAGTAAAAGGGATATTCTAAATTATCTTTCACTACAAACATTCTTTATGACCTTATTTACAAACCGACAGTCTGTGTGTCTTTCTACGGTCATATGAAAGTTTTCTTTACGAGAACTTTGGAATTTTACATTCTTGTGAATACATATTCAGATCTCTGTTCTTATGTAATATAAATCTATTTTGGTATCGTTAGAATAATTTCAACACAAATGTTCTGCTGCACTTTTATCACTAACAAAATCCATGATTAGCCTGCGTAAGTAACTGTTGTCACAGACAGTCATAAAATGTCTCTTCTTTTATGGACCCCGAAAGTTCGTTACCGTGGTCGCAAGGGCCCGCCACCGGTCTCGATCCAGAGTCAGATGAATCCAATCCACACTTTTCCACCCTATTTCATTAACATCCATTTAATTTTCTCCCTCTGCCATCTACTCTTAGTTCTTCCTAGTAGTCTCCTACCCCTGGAATTTACATCCAAATTTGTGTACGCATTTTTGGCTGTCGTGATGAATGCTGCATTCCCGGCCAATCTCATCTTCCATGATTACAGCATTGGAGAAGTGTACAAATTATTAAGCTCCCCCACTTCTCTCTCTCTCTCTCTCTCTCTCTCTCAGGCCCAAATATTCTCAAACAGCGAATTTTTATTCTTCCCATAATGTGAGAGATCAGTTTTCACAAGCGTACAGAACAAGTAATGTTATAGATTTTTATATTTTAATATTTAAGTTTCTACATCTGACTCACTGAATATTGAACGAAATTGGTTTATAGAATTAATTACATCATTGCCTGACTTTGTAATTAATTCCATGGTTTATTTATCACCAATTCTGTGACGCACTTTTACCGCTGATTAGCTATGTATCCAACTCCATGGTAGAAGGATATGCTTTAACAGTTGACTACTCAACTGGTCACGTTAAGGCTCCAAAAATTATCATGGATTTTCAAATTTATTTTGGTACACGTGAACACTTAAGACCGTCATCGGTAAGTTATGGTATAATCTGAATTAGAGTAGTGCTGGGATTATGGTGATAAAGTAATTGAAACAAATTAATTTTAAGTAATAAATTTCACAACGGTGTTGGGTGTGAGATATTCATTCTAAGTTGATGTGAAGACATATATTTGCAGCCACCACAGACAAAGACTGTTCACACGTGATCACTTAGAAATCTTGGAAGTATTTGAATGTGTTTCGTTGGCAGTTAATTTGTCGCCCGATTTTTTTTTTATATCAGCTGCGAGTAGAAAATTTATTTACCGCTAACATTGGTATTTAGCACTAGTACATACTTCACAATAACGATGAAATTAATATTTACTTATATTATACAACACGGTTTAATCTAAACCGTTTTAACCCGGGAGAATTAGACCTGCATTTTATTAATTAGAAGATTGTCATATGAGGTAATTTCCTTTTGTGAAATAATTAATTTCTCAGCTCTGCGCAATAAACATTTAATGTTGCATAGGAATTACAAACTCGAAATAAATATTTTAATAAGAATAGAACATGTTTTTTATGGTGTATGTCTCTTAAGGTCACACGTATTTGCTGTCAGATGACTCATAATTTCATGATACATTTAAATCACATAGAGTAACAGAGCCATAACTTTTGTTGAATTTTGATTTTGATTTAATTAATATTTAATGTCAGTCTAAACTTCTTGTTGACAAGTTTGAAAAGCATTTTGCTCTTGTGCTCTGCAGGTGGCGTGGATCAAGGCAGATACAAAAGCCATTCTTGCTATTCACGAACACGTGATCACCAACAATGCACGGCTTTCAGTTACACATAACGATTTCAACACGTGGACCCTAAATTTACGCGGGGTGAAGAGGGAGGACCGTGGTCAGTACATGTGCCAAGTGAACACGGACCCTATGAAGAGCCAGGTGAGTGTTCGCGTTGTAATATTGTACAGTGTGTTTGGAAAATTAGTGCCCTATCACATTCTGACTTCAAAATACTCTGAATACCTTATTTTTATCACGTTTTTTGGGTTGCAAAATCAATATCTGTTGAAAATATAATAATTAGGATCTTTATAGTTTATAATAATAATAATTATTATTATTAT